GACGTCTCGCTGGCAAGGGGGGGCTTGGTGTCCTGCGCCCCCCCAGTGGGAGACCCGTGGCCATTATGGGGCTCCCACACGTCGTTGTTGTCACCGTGGTGGTGGTGACGGTCGCGGGCAGCGACGTCGTCGGTATATATTGTTGCAACAGAGCGGGAGGCACCGTCACTCGGATGTTGGACGTGACTCTCGGTGCCCCCGCTGCTGTAATCGGGGGAGGAGATGGTATGCCGAGGGGGGGTAGTGTCACCCCCCTGCTGCTGGCCTCCCCCGATCGTGGCGACGCCGCTGCTGCCGGTCGCGACGCCACGGGACTGCCGGACGATGGACGGGCCGGCATAGCTGCAGAGCTCTTCTCGGGNGNAACCCTGGNGCTCTGCAGCCCCCGTGACGCCGGCCCCCGGTCTCGCNTCAGAGACAGGGGGAATTTTCGCCTCGTCGCCTCGGAGCTCTTCTCGACCGGGGCGTCTGTTGCCGTCCGCCTNTCGAGGGATTCCCTCCANGTGTATCGGGTGGTCTGNTGAGGTGGTGCGGACGGCCTCTTGCTGGCGACACCCCCCGCTGAAGTCCTCGCCGATCCCTCCTTCGGGGAGCGGGGGGGCGCACGCACCGGTCTGGCAGCTCCGGANTTCCTGCTGGGCGCGCCGTGAGCCCGCCGCATTCCNGNGGCCTCCTGNGGTGATGGTGTTGCGGCGGGNGATCTNGATGNTCTTGATNTTCCTCCCCCCCTTGCTGTNTAACTTCCAGCGGAAGATGGTGATGGGGGGGGAGGGCGGCGCGCGAGCGACGAGGTGCCGGCTCTCCTGATGNTNNTGCTGCTACCCCCNCTCGAGGGGGTAGATAAATCCGCGACCGTCTCTCTCCTNGCGGCAGCTGTCCTCCTNGTCGACGCCTTCTTNTTCGGGACGGCCCCCTTCGATGNTCCCGGCTGGGGCACCGTCCCCGCAGCCGTCGCTCTCGGCGGCCTCATGGTGATGGCGGCCGCTTCTCCTGCTGTGACGGCTGCGTATGTGGGGGATGGTCCTGTCGTTGGTGGTGTTGATGATGGTGGAGAGGGCCCGCTGGGTTGTGTCCTTAAAGCTGGGCGGGCCCTCTTGGTGGCGGTGGTGGTGGCGCGTGCGCCGGGTTGCCGCGGGTTCGCAGAGGGATTGCGNTTNGAGGGGGGANTTCTGTCTGTGGTCGGGGCCGCNGACGACGCGGAAGATGGCGCGGCTCCAGGTTCGCTTGATAATCTACTATTACCCGCCTCATCATCAACCGGGGGTTGGGGGTGAAATTTNTCNATNTGNNNTTTNACGTCNTTCTGCGGGTACCTCGTTNTCCCCCTGTACCCGCAGAATCCACATTTATANGTNATTGTATCCCCCGGGTGNTCTTTNTTNANNTGTTTNGCTANGTGAGGCGGGTCAGCGAAAGTTCCCGCGCGCACGGAGGGACGCAATTGGTCGCTGCCGTGGCAGCGAGGACAAATTACGCGCGCGGGAAGCGGGATCTCGATTACAATTTCCCTATGCTCGGCCTCTAGGGACATTTCGATAGCGCCTTAAGCACAGTGCCTGTGCGGATACGCCTTAAGGTTCGCGGATACGCCTTTATGTAATTCGGGGTTGTTCCGCTCGGTGTCGCCCCGGTAGACGACAGCAACGCACCTGTCACACGAGTTTACCACCGGATAACAACAATAAGGTAAGTACAATTAATAAATAGAATAAAATAATAAAATAGAATAATTATTCGACAGGTGCGAGCGGATTCGACGAAGTTGCACGGGTAGAGTGTACGCAACGACCTAAACCCCGAGGTGCCTGCCGGATACGCCTCTGCGCACAAGTGTCACCAGCCGCAATCTTTTTGTTAATTTTTTGGGTAATTTTTAGTTTTATTGTTATAATTTTTATGTAGTTGAGATCGGGGGGAGCGCGCGATCCCAACTTACTATATATTATCCTTCTTTATATTATTTTTACCACTAAAAATGTTAATAATGCTCCCCCTTTGTTTTTCAGGTTATGCGGCCTGGTGACTGTCAGCAGAGGCGTGTGTACGAGCAAATAGAATGGTAAGTATATAACAAAATTAATCAATTAATTAAGCAGGCACCTATTGCAGGCACTGTGCAATAATAATCCCTGTAAAAATGATTTCAGTGGCAGGCGAGTGGACGGAGTACTGCACAAGACAGGAGTTCTACACGACACCTAACCTAGACCTGTCAAGGTGCTGCGGATGGAAATTGCTGCAAAAGTGATGTTAATAGTAATAGTATTAGGAGGTGGGTGGCTAGTGTAAAAATAAAAACGTTTGAAATATATAAAAAGTTAACTCATCGACTGTAAAACAGCTCTGCACACGGGTAAAGAAGAATAAAAGTGTGCAGAGCAATGTGTTAATAAAATAATAAAATTTCTGTCAATGAAATAAAAAGATGTAAAATTATTTCCACCCACTCTCCCGCAGCAGCAGCACCAGGACCTATATAAGAGATGGAGTAAAAAGGAAGGCAGGTGTATTACAATATATAATTTTCTCTTTATTCAAAGTTTTGTCCGTAACGGACAGAACTCCTGTCGACACACACAAGGACGATGACGCAGCACAAACGAAGACACACAGATATACACCTGGCGGGCGACACACACGGAATAGAAAATAAAAAATATAAAAATAAAATAAATAGAAGACGGACGCGCACTTGTATAAATAAATAAATAAATAAATAGATAAAAATAATAGAAAAATAAAACGCGCACACGCACTATCCCGCCAGGTGTCTCGCACTTCGCCTAACCGTGAAAATCACTTTTCTTCGCTGAGACCGAGCTCCTATCTCCTGGAGCCGAAAAACTAAATACAAAACTCACTTTTTGAAACACAAATGTCCTCCTCTCCTGAACAATGGAAGTATCGCCTCCCCCGGGCCTCCTAGGTGGTCGCTGAACACAGAACACACGCGAAAAACCACTTTTCTCGAAAACCGCTTTTTTCGAGAAATCGCTTTTTTGAAGCCCGGTAAGGCCTCACTGGCTATTAAACAGTTTTATTAAACTGATTCTTGGAACTGTCTTTTAATTATTCAATGCTGGGCCAAACCCGGCGGCACTGCAAAACCGGGATGACCCGCGACGGAGCCGGAGCAAGCTCCGGGCGTCCGTCCAGTTCCAAAAATCAGTTTAATATTCTGAGACCGCTTTGCGGTCTGTATCAGATATTAAGCTGATAAGAACAGATACTACACTTTGATCTTAGCCAATGAGGCCGAGAAGCGATGCTTGAAGAGTATTTTGTAGAGAATTTATAAAGTTTTACGCAAAATTTAAATTCGAGAAAATACGCCTCGTAGCGGCTGACGATAAAACTAGCGATTCGAGCGATAGTTACTCTCTAGCGCAATCACGGGGGGTAAAGAGGATAAATCCTTTTGATCAATCAAAAATATTAATAGCAGAGAGGTTTAAAAAATTCGTGGCTTTTTTATAATCACATCGGCGATCGAAAATTTTCGCATTAAGAAACAAGCTACGAGAGCGGTCGCGCATAGCACGGAAATGAATCACCGTGCGTACGCATCAACAAACGTGCTCATGAACATGGTTACGTAGTTGACAATGTGAACTGTTGTGTACAAAGCTCTGGCAACAGCAATAATCGCTAAATTTGATCCGCTTTCAGTCGCTCTCCGCTAATATAAAACGAGAGCAATTACGTATCGGCAGATTGACGTCAAATTGGCGTCAGAAACATTAGGTTTGTCATATACTTACTAGAATCAGCTGACAATCTGCTATCAATATACGTTCATTCAGACTTTTTCTCTTTTTGACAAAATTTCTTGCGGTCATTTGACAGGTCAAAAAAGTTGACAGGTTCCGCTAGAATATTGGCATTATGATTCGTTACGACGGTGAGTATCGCAAACATGCCTAAGGCCTATAATGTTCTATAATACAGTCGTAAGCTGTAAGTCGGATGGATTTTAAAATGTTAAAACTTTATTTAAATTTATTATCACTTTGGATACAAATTGAAAAAATTAAAATATTAAAGAAGAAGAAACGTAAAATAAGAAGGTGGTGGGTAAAACCACATATTTCTGCAAATATGAGAAATACTTTTGGTGCTCATAAAAAACTATTTATGTATTTTCGAATAAATGATCACGAAGAGTTTTATAAATTTACAGGGATGTCAGTACAACAATTTAATCATTTACATGATCTTCTAAAATCAAATTTACGAAAAAGAAGTCATAGGGAGCCTTTACCAACAGAGATACGCGTTGCAGTAACATTAAGGTTAGTTTATTGATTATATTCTTTTAGTAGTTTATTGATTATATTCTTTTTAGTAGTTTAAGGAAATCTTAGTATAGTTTACTATTTTAATTTTTCTAACAAATTACCGGTATGACGTCACACCGGTATATCTGCATTTCGGTTTGCATAAGGTTTTTCATACCATTACCGAAAAATATCGGTAAAATACCGGTATTTTGCATACCGGTATAAGTCCCTGCTAGAAAGTGCACTGACAGGTCTATTTGAGATCTCGCTATCAGTTGTCATAATTACTTCATCATTTTCAATATTTCATGACGATTTGTCATCTAAAAGTATTTCTTTTTCCTTGTGTGTTATGTGTATGTGTACGTGTGTACCTTCTATCGACTAAAACGATCCACTGTAATTGTGATCATATGGTAAAGAAACAAGTAAATTAGAAGATTGCTTGGAATTTTTGGACGGCGAACAAATATTTGTTGCACTTGATTTGAGCGGTAAACTTTGTGACTGATTCTGTTCAAAAAATGATGTTTTCGTTCTGCAAATAAACTTAGTACTTAAACACAAGTAAAATTATACAATAAAGGATAATAATGTTCCATACTAAAATATAAAATAATAGCTAACAATAAATAAAAAATAATATAAAAACTAGACACTTGCCTTCTGTGCGCTATATGAGGAGTTAAAAACAACATATTTCTATATAACTCCCATTTTTTTATAGATTCATATCCAGAACCAGACGGTTGTAATTTATGTTTCCTATTCTCTCTACTAAACATATCTCTTAAAGACGACCATCGTTTTTCAATTCCTTCAGCTATAAAAAAATAAATTAAGTATAAAATGGTTGCTAATAATTTAAAAGACAATAAATTTACCTGACATATTCACTCTATACAAGTTTTTCAAATTATCAGAGAGTAATATGTAGTTTGGATTCTCTGATGCACACTTCCTTAGACAATTTGAATGCAAGTGCAATCCGCCATGCTGATTTAATTCGACTCTGTCAACTCCAGTTGGCGCTTTTCAACCGGTCTAATGGATCGCTCGAGAGACCATTCCTCCTGGAGAGAAGTCTTTCTCAGACTTTTTATCAACACTGTGGCAAACGTGTACGTTTATCGTCATCAGTCGCACTTGAGGTTAGAGACGCTGATAGAAGTCTGTCTGAAAACGTATATTCGTGTGCAAGTCGTGTGTCATAACAAGAAGGTTTCGTTCGTAAGTTTTGTGTGTTTTATCTCGCGGAGAAACTCCAATACGCTTGTACAATTTGTTACGAAATTATTTCCGCCTCTCTTTCTCTCTTTCTCCGCTCGCAATTTTTGCTAACTATCGTATTTAATATGTGTAATTCGTATTGATACTAAAAAAAAAAATCTCGACATTAAGAAAATCAATATAAAGAAAATCACAATGGGAGAGACACGTGACGGTGATCGGCGTGATTTATGAAAAAAAAAAAACCTACCGAAGAAGGCAAATGCGAGGGTTAATCTTTGAGTGCCAGCAGGGTGTGCATTTCCAAATAAGGCACTCTCGAAGAGAGAAGCTCAGTGTTTCTGGCGCTGCTACGTGGTCATTGACAGAGTTACGCTCAGGGATGTAATTCAATGGCGGGAATATAAATTTCGTTGTGTCAATTTATGCATTTTTGAGCTATTGTTAAACGATGACTAACACGCTCGTCGGGAAGTGCGTCATATGTCTGTAAGATAACACGGCATAGTGACAAACTCTAGGGAAGATAAATTTTTTTCTTATCAGTCCACTTTGTACTCGTTGCATTTATGTTAAATTCGATTAGAAACTATGTCGAAATCTTATTTTTTCCGTTTTTTTTTTTTTATACACACGTACGCAGAAACATGAAAGAGAGAGAGAGAGAGAAGAGTAGGCGAAATGAGATATTTCTGATATTATATATATCGCAATTGAATGACACAAATGTATATTTTAGATCTCGGTTTCCCTCTTTTTCTATATATCTCTCTCTCTTTTACACTCTCTTTCTCTCTCTCTTTCTCACTCTTATTCTGATTCATGTGTCACGTCCTTCTTCTAACACGGGTGCGGTCACAGTCGCACTCACTTGGTGCGAGCCCGTCTATTTCGGTGAACCAAAATCATTTTTGATGCACCATGTAAGGAGCGCAGGAGGCGCTTGTCTTTATATGCTTACCGCGATAATTGGTAAACTGGCCGGCAAGCCAATTGCGCCAAATGCAAATATGTATTAGAAAGTATGAGACCAAGTGACGCATATTTGAAATATATTCTCTTATTTCAATTGTAATCGGTTTTCTTTGTTTTTTTTGAGAATAAAAGAATATATGACATGTGTAAAAAGAGATCAGTATTTCTAGTATGAAACAGAAATATTGCACACATTTTTTTCATACTCATGGAATATAGGAGTAAAATTAATTACCTTATCAATAAACATCATAAAATTGTAACAATACATAATATTGAGAGATCACGTCCTTCGTTGTAAGTTTATTTTACACGTTGATCTTGTACTTTACGTCTGTTTTTTTTTTTTAAATTGCAACTAGGTGCAGACATGTCTTTTCGGGTGGTACGTACAAGCAAGTTCCGCCACGTGTACGGAACACCATTAAAACGTGAACAATGTTACGACAATATTCGAGTGTCGAAATCGTCGTGGGACTCGACGTTTTGCGCTGTGAATCCTAAATTTCTCGCCATTATCGTAGAATCGGCGGGTGGTGGTGCCTTTATCGTCTTGCCGCACAATAAGGTGAGCTCTTTTGCTCCTATCTCTCACTCTTTGCGGTTTCCGTTTTGTTTCTCCTTCTCGCTGCAATATATTTCCGCTCTGTTGATCCGGAACATGCATGTGATAGAAATATTTCTTTTCTCTCACTAATACATTTTATATTTCATATTTCTGCAAAACATTGGAATAGATACTTTTGAAATTGATATCTTGCATATAGTACTTGATGAAACATAGAATAGATACTTTTGAAATTGATATTTTATGTAGTATTTGATGTTACTTTTGAGTTCCTTGGAAAAATACGCGATAATTGATAGTTGCGTGAAATACTTGTAGGTAGGAAGAATACCGGCAGACTATCCTTTAGTAGGTGGACACAAAGGACCTGTATTAGATATTGCATGGTGTCCTCATAATGATAATGTCATAGCTTCTGGCTCAGAAGATTGTGTTATCAAAATATGGCAAATACCTGATGGGGGTATTTCTAGGACAATGACTGAATCGGTAGTAGATTTGCAACTACATCAACGCAGAGTTGGTCTAGTGCTATGGCATCCATCTGCATTGAACGTGTTGCTCACGGCTGGCTCAGATAATTTAGTCATTATTTGGAACGTTGGTACAGGAGAAGCCTTAGTGCGCATCGACTGTCACCCAGATGTGGTTTATTCAGCTTGTTGGAACTGGGACGGATCTCGCGTAGTCACTACATGTAAAGATAAAAAGATTCGCATCTTAGATCCAAGGTCAGGTAAAATATTAGAAGAAGCTATAGCGCATGAAGGAAGCAAAGCGACTCGTGCGATCTTTCTCAGGTATGTGTTCTATGTGTTGTACTCTATTTTGTCTCATTATATATAATGTGACGTCATTTGTTTTTATATATAAATATTTAATATTTATTTATTATTAAATGCTTAATTCTTTACCTGTGTGCAATATAGTTCTAGTATTATATTATACTATTATATATTTCAATATATCAAAATAACATCATTATGATTCCCATTTTTCAAAAACAATAGAGTGCATTACACCACCAAGTGTATTTACATGAGTGTGGATGTAAAACATATATATTTAAGGAAATGTAAATAACATTTATTAGTTGTATTTTGTATACTTTTTTTGTTATTAGGTAGTTGGTAATCTATTTATTGAAGAACTATTTTCATAAATAAAAGGATAATATGTAAACAATATCTGTCAATATAATCATCAAATGGTGTACATCCACCTTTTTACACCCACATACTATACGCACATGCACACACACACACATACATACATACTCATGCGCATATTAGATATAAATTTACCGGTAATATAATTATTTTATTAATATAGATTGTTTTACCACTACGTACGTGTATGTGTACATGTAGTCGTAATAACACTCTGGATAACATCACATTAATAAAAAATTTGATATCACCGGTAACCTATTTACAATTATTTTTAATATGTTTTATATTTGTCTCTACTTTTTTTCACGTTATTATCTCTTTTAACGGATAACTATAATTTATGAATACTATATTTACGTTGACATGTATACATGGTATTCTTCATATTTCTTTCCATATACGTGTAATTTATAAAAGAAAACATATGTATATATTTATTACATATATACATATGAGATAGATGTACATTTGTGTTTTTATCATGTAATATTTCCGGTTTGTGTAGTGCAAGATTTTATAATTTTTAACGGGAAATCATCAGACACTGAATTTTCGACATGATGAAGATGCCATCTCTTATTAAATACGAATGTCAAGATGCGTGCTCTCTCTCTCTCTCTCTCGTAATTCTCCATAAATATTGCAGTAAGTATATTGTATATGCCAAATTTTTCATTCAGTTTGTTGCGTATAATAAAATTACATATAATAGTAAAACATACATAATGAAAAAAGAAAAAGAGAAAATAATGGTCTCCTGAATATTGCACATTTAAGGAAAAGTTTATGTAAGTATTATATGATGTGTATTTGTTCTTTTTTGATGCAATAATTTATTTTGTTTAAGACGCTCAAATTTTTAGGGAGTATGTTATCACGTTAAGTAAGATAAGAATATTGACTTTATATTACAAAATGGTAATAAGGTGGATGTAATAAAATTTTGATGATTAATTTCTTTGTGTGAGAAAACGATATAAAAATATTGCAACAATATGAAACTATTGCAAACACAAAATATACACAATTACTGTAATATACATATGTCACCGAAAAAAAAAAAAAAAAAAACCGACGAAATCCGTCGCAACCTCATCTCACTCGTGTTTTAATCAAATTATTTTGTATTTTGTATTTACAGGGGTGGCTTAATCTTTACGACAGGTTTCAGTAAAATGTCGGAAAGGCAATATTCTCTACGAGCCCCTGACATGTTGGGCGAACCGATAGTTATGGTAGAATTAGACACGAGCAACGGAGTTATGTTTCCTCTGTACGATCCCGATACAAATTTAGTATATTTATGCGGCAAGGGTGATTCTGTGATCCGATACTTCGAAATTACACCCGAACCGCCGTTCGTTCATTACATTAATACCTTTCAAACTCCCGATCCTCAACGGGGTATAGGAATGATGCCAAAACGGGGCTGTGACGTCAATAGTTGTGAAATAACCCGATTCTATCGATTAAACAATTCGGGATTCTGTCAAGTGGTATCCATGACGGTACCAAGAAAGGTGAGAGAAAGAGAGAAGATGAGAGAGCGCTCTGTGTGTGCAAGTGGAAAATTGAAGAAAAAATGACATTGGGGCATTACGTGTATAAATAGATACGTGTATTAATTTTAGTCTGAACTCTTCCAAGAAGATTTATATCCCGATACACCTGGTGACACGGCTGCGATTTCGGCGGAAGAATGGGAAAGCGGCACCGATGCGGAACCCATATTGATATCGCTTAGGGACGGTTACCAGCCGACCGTTTCCAAGAACGAACTCAAAGTACAAAAGAAATCAAACATATTGAGCAAAGGTGCCAAGGTTGCGTCTAATGCTGCGCAAAACACCGCGCAAGTTTCAGGAGCTTGTGTACGTATCAGGAGAGGAAAAAAGAGAGAAAGAGAAGACTTTTTGCTTCTTTTTCGTTCAAAGAGGTCTTAAATATTTTTACCAATTGCTATTAATCTGTTGTTGCAGGAGGAACTGTTGAAGGAATGCAGAGAAGAGATAAGAAAATTAAAAGCCGTGATTGTGAAGCATGAGGGAAGAATACGAGTGTTGGAATCGGCGGTCGCGCTTCAAATGAAGGAGGAAGAGCGAGGAAAAGAAGAAAGAAAAGAAGAGAGAAAAGAAGAGAGAAAAGAAAGATCGTCTTCTCCCGACAGCAAGGAACCACTCGCTTCCGACGAAGTGTAAAACCTCTCCGGATTTTTGTCTTCAGTTCGAGATAAAATTCCGTGACGCGATGTGTAATATTTCTAACTAGATCATATTTTTTACTAGAATTACTAATATATCGTGTAATAAGAATGATCGTATATTTTGATATAACAACTTACTGTAAATAATAGGTTCTAGCGATACTGTGTGTGTCTCTGATTTTTATTATTTATTGTATACATCTACTATTCGTCGTACATTCTCCGAATTTGTATTATGTTTACATATTTTATCATTTTAATGGCGTGACACACAGGAGCCGCATAACGACAACAACCATATGTATCTCTTAGAAGTAAGTTTCTGAATTTTTCTGAAATTTTTTTTTTTTCACGCAATTGACATGACTATAATATACAGCATAGCGATAAACACCTACTACATGTATGTATATGAAACCTTTGTGTACGTATCGGAGAAATCGTGATACACTCGAGTGCCTAACTCTTGTACAAATATTTTCTGTTAAATAACAAAGAGTATTATTTTGTTTCAATACGTGAATTTTTATATATCCGCAATATTTCAAATTTTCACGTAGTACAATTGTAGTTTCACTCCTCAAAAACTTCCTTGAAAAAAAACCAAAGATGGCGAGTATCTAAAATTACGTATTTTAATATACTACCACAACACAGGCGCGTGCTACGCGCACGCTATTGTTATTTTTATTTAACGTGTTGTCAGTGAACACAATCTGTCACCGCGATGACAGATAGTATATACGTTTTATAAACCATATAATACACATATGAGAAATGTCAGAAATAACGCATGAAAATCAAACTCAAAA